GAGAGAGAGAGAGAGAAACAGCATGAGAGGGGAGAAGGTCAGAGGGAGAAGCAGGCTCCCCGCTGAGCCGGGAGCCCGACGTGGGACTCGATCCCCGGACTCCGGGATCATGACCTGAGCCGAAGGCAGTCGCTTAACCAACTGAGCCACACAGGCGCCCCTGTGTCAATAAAGTTTTTAAAAAAGCAATGCGGTGTGTGTGTGCGTGCGCGCGCCTGGCTGACTTAATAGGTAGAGCGTAGGACTCTTGATCTTGGGGTTGTGGGTTTGAGCCCCACATTGGGTGTAGGGATTACTAAAAATAAATAAATAAATAAGCTTAGAAAAAATTAAAAAGCAATTATAATAGCTGGGGAAGGACAGAATGGAGAGTGACTGCCAATGAGCATGGGGGTTCTTTTTGGGGTGATAACAATGTTCTAAAGTTAGATTCTGGTGCTGGTTGCACAGCTCTGTGAGTGCTATAAACCACCAAACTATACCCTTTAAATGGGCGCATGTGTGGTATATGAGTCATATCTCAATAAAGCTGTTAAACAAAAACCAGTTGTATAGTGATAGAAGTCAGAATAGTAGTAGGTAAGCTTTGGATGGGGTATTGACTGGGAAGGGATATCAGGGAGCCTTCTAGTATGATGGAAAATGATGTAAGTGGTAGTTGTAGGTGTTAAGCCTGAAACAATTCTTTGAACTGTATGTTTGAGATATGTGCATCTTGCCATATATACACATTATACTTCAAGTTTTCAATTTTGTTTTTTAAATTTTTGATTATTTATTTTTAAAGATTTTTATTTTTTTTAAATAAACTCTTGGCCCAGTGTGGGGCTCAGACTTATGACCCAGAGATCGAGTTGTGTACTCTACTAAGTCAGCCAGGCACCCCTCAATTTGTCACCTTTGAATTTGCTTTAGAAAAATTTACATAAAATAACTTGGAACTTTGAAATTGTCCAGTTCTTTGAGTTCTGACAAATGCATACAATCATATAACCATCATGGGATGCCTGAGTGGCTCAGTTGGTTAAGCGTCTGCCTTTGGCTCAGGTCATGATCCCAGGGCCCTGGGATCAAGTCCCACATCAGGCTCTTTGCTCAGCAGGGAACCTGCTTTTCCCTCTGCCTGGCAGTCCCCCTGCTTGTGCTTTCTCTGACAAATAAATAAATAATCTTAAAAAAAAATCATATAACCAGGAGCCTGGGTGGCTCAGTCGTTAAGCGTCTGCCTTCGGCTCAGGTTATGGTCCCAGGGTCCTGGGATTGAGCCCTGCATTGGGCTCCCTGCTCAGCAGGGAGCCTGCTTCTTCCTCTCCCTCTGCTGCTCCCCCTGCTTGCGCTCTCTCTCTGCAAGTAAATAAAAAAAATAAAACAAAAACAACTGATGCCTAAATACTATCCTCAGATTTTTTTTTTTAAAGATTTTATTTATTTATTCATGAGAGACAGAGGGAGAGAGAGAGAGAGAGAGAAAGAGAGAGAAGCAGAGAGAGAAGCAGAGGGAGAAGCAGGCTCCCAAGGAGCAGGGAGCCCGATGCAGGACTC